GACTACTAATACTAAATATTAACTGGTATCACGCGGCACAACCGATTTGTATGTTTCACAAACAATCGGCTTGCTGACAAACAAAAATGGCCTGAATAGATGAATAGAGTCCATAACAGTGGATTATAAAATTTGGGAAACTGGTATGTTTGTAAATAAATTCTATAATTGGCCAGAATGAATTCGTTCTTTAATATGATCAACGAATTAATCAAATTAAAAAAATAATCCACAATATTGTCATTATTTTACGTCACCAATTGAATGCATCGTCTTAAATTAATTATCTGATGAACACACGATTCTTATAGATATATCATCAATTATTATTATTTACATGACATGCAGGAATTTTATTAATTAAAAACAAATCGAGTTAAGTTAATTGATCGTAAATTAGGAAATTATAAATTTTTTCGCCCGACAGATATCAATATTTATTTTCATTTTAACGCGTTTTTGGTTTTTTCAATTCTATCCAAAAATTCTTTAATCTAATTCGGATTTCAAAAAGATGCTGAATCGAAAGAAAATTGTTATAAAAGAACGAGAAATTTCTCAGAATCAAAACTTATGTCCTTTTCTTCAATAATTAATTAACAATAATAAATATATATAATCTATAACTGAAAATGAATGAAATTATATCAAACCCTTCTTCATTTTTTATCATAAATAAACATCCTAAAAAATATCTTATTAATTCTTATTCATGCGATAAAAATTATTTTCACAATAACGTTGAAATGAATAAGAACTTATATTTATATACACAAAAAAATTTTCTTAATTCAATTCCGCCTTATATCTCATATTCGAATAATTATCATTATGATGTGTTTAATCATGGGAAAGCAAATCAGCCTTCCAAAGTATTTCTATGGATTGATTTTATTGATGATGTAGAAAGTTTTGTATTGGAAGATTCCATGAAAATTTACGAGAAACCGATTGATGTCCCATTTTCAAATGTCCCAGTTGAAAACAAAATTGATATAATCAAAGCTTTTGAATTACAAATTATCAGAATGCTGGAAACCGTTTTTAATTCCACAGCCAACATTAATCGTAATAATAATAATCGTGCAAGTAACTTGAAATTTAAAAAAATGGAATCTTACACCGGCTGTAATTTAATTGATTGGAAAATAATCGATAATAGTGATGCGGACGAGAGGGGTGGTGGTGGTGATGATGGTGATGATGATGATGATGATAATGATAATGATGATGAAAACCAGAAAGTTATTGCGGTACTGGCATTGAGATCAAAACGTGTATTATCAATGAATGATAAAAATAGTATTATGAATTCTTATTATGCAAAAACAAATGATTTTTACGAGAATGTTAATGAAGTTTATGATTTTATGATGAAATTAAATGCTTCTTACGGGATATTATCAACTTATGAATATACTTGGTTTATCAAAAAAATTACCGATGAAAACAGCGGAAAATCGAATATATTTATATCAAACACGTTGAAATACGATTCAACCAATCCAACTATTCTTCATTCGTTTTTTTATTTTTTAAATTTGGCAAAACAAAATTAATTTGTTACATAGAAAAAATATTTTTTTGTGGGCGGGTGGAAAAATTTTATAATAATAAGGATCATTTAAGTTTATAAGCACACTATAAGTAAATTAGCTAAGACTCATTTAAGTTTAAGTTTTTAAAAAAAATTGGTGATGGTAGCAAACAAACTTAAGATTTTAAGATTTAAAAAATTGCGTTTATATATATGCATTATTTTATTGTTGTTGTTATATATTTTTCGTAGACGATTTTAATCAATTTTTGTAATTTACTTTCAAGAAATCAAATAAAAATTAAAATAACTTTAAAATCATATGTAATCTTCTCGTTGGCTGTGGCGAATCACCATCACAGCCAACTTCTTTTTTCAAATGCAAGGCGATTTCACTCAAAGACTCACAAACTGGTGTTGATTACCCTTGTAGAATACTGTGCCCAGATGGAAGGAAAGATGCAATTTAATTTTCTACACAATTACAATTACTACTATTGCAAACCTGCAATAATTAGGTTTTATGTAACAACAAGTGAAAAAAAAATATTAATATTAATATGAAACGAGTGCAAAATAATACGTTAATTATGTTAAACCTTTTAAAAAAAACAATAATACTGACCTCTTACATTGAACCTATACTAAGTACAAGCCCTACATAGACAGCCTACAATAAGGTGTCTCGGGTGTAAGTCCCAACGTCGCGAACGACTCTTGTTGTTTTTCTGTAATATACTTCAAAAGTATATTTCGAGCTCCGTTTACATCTCTATTAATGGTGGATTTGCAAGATGTACAATTAAAGATCTTTGAACCGCCCAAATTTGACTTGATGACTCCACAACATCCACATGTTTTGCTGGTGTATTCTCAGTGCAGATGATGACCTTGAACCAAGGGTACTCACGGGATTTGTGGAGCAAATATTGGCGAAAACGGTAATGTGACTAAGGCTTCCGGCCGAAACTCTCTTTATTAGTAACCGAAATTGCCAAAACATTTTGGGCAAAAATTACTTTTTTATAAGCCCAACTATTTTTTGTTATTAGCCGAAATTGGGCAAAAATACTTTATAAAGAATGCTGAGAAGCCCAAATTGCCCCAACTAGTTTGGATTTTGAGAAAACAGTTTGGACCGGAAACCTTAAATGTGACCAGGTCAACATTTGTCTTGCTGTTTTAGAGTGAATTTTTCTAGAACCGCATTTTTTTAACCATACCTTGTTTTTTAAACTCAGGGAGCAAAATATATGGTGGTTTTCACACAACCATCTTGCTAATATTTGATGACATTCATTCACAAGATTACGGATTTTCTTATGGATCTTAAGCATGCGTCAACAGAGCTTTATACCTTTTACGTTTATTTGTTTTGTCATGAATAGAAGAATCCCTTTCACCTTGGATTCTATCATAATGCAAGCACAAGCGATGTATTCTACTAATATCCCCTTTTCCCCATTCTAAAACCTCACCACTTGGGTTATATCCAGTCATCAAGGTTCTCGCTCCTGGATCAAGAGAAATAATGCCAGCGCCTTTATTCTCATCAACCACCGAAAATTTAGGACCTTGGTTTGGGGTAGAATTCACCAAGACGATCCATGGTGAGACGAAGTTCATGATTTATTTCGGGTATTTTTTTTGCTTGTTTTAATACCTTTGAGAAATGAATAATGACCACGGTTTCATCCCCAGTCCCTTGATATAATGGTGATGCATTGTGATTTATCCTTTTTAGATCTGAACTTCAATTTAAAGTTTTTTCTTTTCAAAGCAAAATTAGACTTATAATTTTTTAAAAGGTCCATCATTGTTGCATCCCTAATGTCATGAGGTGTGTCAAGAGCACACCTAAGATTAATAATGTCTTTAAATTTTTCAGGTTTATTAGTGATATAATTTTCATGTAAATACTTTTTATCTTTGTTTTTTATATCACTATTAATTGCAGCTAGGCATTGGTTGTATGTCCAGCGTGCACAGTACCAATCCATTTTAATAGTTTGTTTTTTTCCTCCAAATTAGGGTAAGGTCTAATTTTATGAGTTTTTCCTGCTGGAGATTTTTTGGAAGAGGATGCTGAAGATAAAGAAATAGCATCAAAAGAAGATGGTGAAGTTAAATTCTCTTTAGAAGAAATTGCATCTTTAAAATTATTCCATGTTCCATCTGGTAAAAGGGAAATATTATTTAAATCTGTATGTGTTGGTTTAATTGAGTCAACTGTAATCCATGAACCAAAAAGCTATTATTTTTAAAAAGTCGCTCTATTGACTCGAGCACAATACTTCACTATTAGTTTTTAGGGGTAACTAACACCAATTTGTGAGTTTTTGAGTGAATTCATCCCAGAATGGCTTATATCTTTTTACATTCAAAGAAGTTGTTTGTGATCGCGAGTCAGAAGATTGCATAAAAGTTTCAATAAAAATTTATATTTTTAAAAATTGAATATAATTGTGCAAAAAGTAAACACTATTTTTTTCAAAAATTTTTTTTTGAATTTGAAAAAGATAAATTGTAATATATATTATATATATAATAATAAATATTTTCTGTATTAATTGTGAAACAATCAATTATGTTTAAAAAATATTTTCTGACCGTAATTAATCATGAAATCAATCAAAAAATTATTTTCCGACTGTATGTTTGTGAAATTAACCATTGAAATCAGTCAAAAAAGGATTTTCTGATTGTATTTTGGGTCTCTCCCACTTTACCGACAATCAAATAGGTTTCTAGCCCAAATTGCCAAAATAGTTCGAGCTTTGAGAAACAGTTTGGGCTTGAAACCTACTTGATTGTCGGTAGAATGTCCGTCGGTAAAGTGACCCAGACCCGTATTTTTGTGGAATTAATCGTGAAACAATCAATTATGTTTAAAAAATATTTCTGACTGTATGTTTGTGAAATTAATCATGAAATCAATCAAAAAATATTTTCCGACTGCATGTTTGTGAAATTAATCACATGGTTGTAGTAGCGTTGCATGTTAACAATATAGTTACTCTATCTTTGCTTTGTGCCTGCGTACTGACTAAAGTCAAGTTTAGTCAAGTTTAGTCAAGACAATTATTACTAAATTGAGATTTTAACCCCTTTTACGCTGCCAGCCCTGATTCCTATGAAAGCATTCTATCTTTAAAAGCTTGAGCTATTTTAATTACAATTTCCCTTTATTATTTTCCATGTTTGAAGAAAGAAGATACAAACATTATTTTTGTATTGGTTAAAATGGTAGTGATGGTCAGGAATTTTCATGAAAAAAAAAATTAGCATGTGTTATTCACAAGATTACAAATGTTTCAATTAATTCGAATTTGCCAATTTTTTTTCTTTTTTTGTTGAATTTTCGCGTTTTACAAAGGATAAATTGTTTATATAAAATAAATTAAAAATGTTCGAGCCCCAACTTTTTATTAATTTATTTTTTCGACAACATTAACAAATCAACATGTCGACAATTACCACCACATCCACCATATCCTCATCCATAAACAAAGTTATTAATGATAACGAGCAAAATAATAACGGTATTTATTTATTTATTATTATTTAGTAGTTTGACTTTTTCGTTTTTTATAAAAATATTTTTTAAATGTTTTTTTTAAATTTTTCAGAACTAGTTTCGTTAAGTTCTCACTCGAAATATGATGATGGTTTCAGAGAAAGATTTAATCAAAACATGGATAATAAATTTGCACTTCAAAGTACCATTAATAAAAGAGCGGCGAATCCAAATAAAACCAACGCGAAAGGTCTAACGTACTACATTATGAATCCTAGTGATTTACGAGAAGATTATCCAGTCTGGCATTATTTTTATCTTTGCACGCTGATATTTGGAGCATTTATTACTTTATTCATTGTACCTGTCGTATTCGGTATGTTGGCGGCAATTGGCGGTATTGGGACTCCACTTGTTTTATCAATCGTTGGAAGTTTTTTCGGTCTTTTCCTTGGAGCTGTATTTGGCGTTGTATTCGCAGTAGTTTGCATTATTTTCTTGATGAAATCTCTTGGTTTTGCTGCCGAATGGATTTTGGATGTTCTTTCTAATGGTGGTAATGATTTAGTTGAAATTACCAAAGAGCAATTTATCCAATTTGTTAATAACTCTCCATCTCAATAAATATTATTATCATTATTTTAGTAGAAATATTTTTATATTTATATAAATATAGACTTTATAAATGGAATTTTATTTTATTTTATAATTAATAAAGCATTTTTTTTTTTTGCTGGCAATTTCTAATTCATTTCTTTATATCCAAGATGTCATATTAATATATATATATATATATATATATATTTTACTAAAAGTGAATTACTATTTTAAATATAATAAAAATAGGGATTGGAATATGAAAAAAAAAAAACACTATATATTCAGCAGGAATTACAAGGTAGCAGGATATATTGCGTCTAATTATTAAAAATTTTTCATGGATATGCGTGGTATTTGTCAATTTCATTAACAAGTAGTAATGAATAGATTCACAAGACACACTCTACAACTATGGAACGAAATGTAACAACTAATATTACCAGGGAAGAATCACCTTGTAATGGCCAAGGTCCAAATGCACCAATATCACCTATAAAATGAAAATTTGTATATCACTAGCATTTGAAGAAGGAAAAAGTACAAACATGTTGGTTTTGTTGTCAGGTTGTTGAACCGTATATGAATCTTGAATGCATGAATTATTATTTGTAAAAGATCCCAGGATCGTGATCATTGATAGTAAAGCATTGACTTGGCTTCAAATAATGCATGCAAAAACTTGGGATGGTTATAAATAGAAAAATACTAGAAATGAAAAAAATACCTAATGATAAATGAGATGACTGATTGGATGGCGGTTTTTCATGATTGAAGCGGTAATTGGTAATTAAATACTTGTTGCATTTGTGTACTTTTTATAAAATCAACATCATTATTGTCATTTCATTTTGAAATGTCTATTAACATAAATACAGTATGAGATGATTCGTGAAAATATTATTTTGGATTTTATAAATGTTTTGGAACAATTCATTCTTTATTTTCTTTAATAATATATTTATTTGTACGTACTAAGTAACATTTGCTTTCATTTTCAATTTCAAGTTTATAAGTTATTCGAACCCTTGTTTCAATTTATTTTACAAAATAAAATAAAAGCAAGAAAGTTCTTTTGATTTCTTAAAAATCATTTTTTAAATCTTTATAATAATTATAATGAGAATATCTGGAACACTACTTTCATCTCTTGGTGTAATTTGGTGCTAAAAAAATGACAATTTAGAAAAATATTTAGATTTTTTGCCTTATCTTTTTGAATCAAAATCAGACAAGTGGTGGAATGCATGTCTCAATTTTAAACGTTGCTAATGCATTTGCAATCTTTGATAGTTATCAAGATAATTAATACCATGGGATAGTTTAATAATTTATGCATTTATTATTTAAGTTGTTTAAAAATAATTGTGGTCAAGAAATCATATTTTTAATGCATTTGATGCACCTATTATTTAGAAAGTTTGTTATTAATGTGTCACAATTATCAAAGCTGCTTGTTATAAGAAACAATTAATTCCGTGGAATATGGTAGATTAAAACGGGAATAAATGTATGAAGGCGATGGCTTATTGACTGATATACTGCTTGTGTAATTGATTTTATCAATAGGTAAGAGGGTGTTTAAACAAATAAATGTTTGTGTGTTAATGAGTAGGAAAACATGTAAATAAATATATTCCGGAAGTAGGAGGAACTCTAACAGATTAAAAAAAAAGTTCTCGTTCAACACGTTTATCTCTTTGGTAAAATTATTTGTAATGTATAAATTGTGGAATTTTATCTTCAACACACGTATTTAATGTGTGACATATTTATACAACAATTGTAATAGCATGAATCCGAAAACTATATAAATGGCTGAAAGTCAGTAGTAAAAATCACGATTTATATAAGGCCACGCTGTTGGAGAGAAGACCCTGCAGGAGTAACAAGAATTAACTTAATATTAAGCAATTAAAAAAAAAAGAAACAATCATTTTTGGGAAAAAAAAAATTTTTTTTTCTGACTAGACTATAAAAAAATTATATATAATATATATAGGCAAAATTTTCTTTATTGTTTAAATTTGGAAACATATACATGTACATGATCTTCAGAACCTAAGCTATAAACTGATATAAAATTTTGTGCATTTATTATGTACGTTTTTTGTGTAAAAATTAATAATACCTACGCCCTGGTTATTATTACAATGAGATTCAGTTCCTGTTTCCTGTTTCCTGCTTCTTGTCGTACAATACTTGTTAGGGATCAGCTTTGAGCAGAAAATTCCTTGGTTGGTTTCCAGAAACTTCGAACTATTGATGTTTTGTTGTCATTATTAGTATCAGAACTATACATATTGTTCGTTATTAACCAAAGTTACCTATTGGTATGTGGTATTTTCAATTTCTTGTTCTTGTTTATTTTAAAATGGTTTGAATTTGGTTGTTCCAATAAATTTGAAAGCCACATCAATCGATCGTGTGACAAGAATCAGATTATTATGTATGTTAATATATTAGTATGTATTATGATCATGGGTATTTGTACAACTGTAATTATTTGTCCATAATATTTATATTAATATTTATAAAGTAATTGCTATGATTACAATTGATGGATGGTCACTGGGTGAGTGAACATGCCCGTCTCCAACCTATTTATGAAATAAAGCTCAAACTTGACGTGAATTTTGTTGTCTTTACGCGGGTTTTATTTTTTTACATTTATTTTTGCATTTTCATAGAATTTAAATAAATAATAATTGCTGACTTATTTCCAGAAACTGATATTTGGTTTATCCGAAAAATCTTTTTTGTCATGACATTGATGATTAGTTTCTATTATTATTATTATTATTATTATTATTATTATGTTATCACAATAATACCGTTCCGTAATCTTCATATTCAATAAGGGATTTTTTAAATATCGAAAACTTTGTGAATTCGAAGTCGTAACTCGTGTAATTCTTAAAGAAAAAGTTAATTTATTTGGGTGGCAAAGTTAATAAAAAAAACATACAGTTTCTAAAATAATATTCAAGACATTACAATGCAAATATCAAATTGAAATGCTAACGAATGACCATGCGACGTAATCTTTAAATTACCAGAGTAATTATAAGATTTTTATTAATTAAAACATACATTAAATTCATTTATTTTTTTCGCCAAGTAGAATTACAGGGCTTCATATATAGAACCTAGTGTCATCCTTTAATCATCCTGGACGATAAGCTGTCTGTTGAGCATGCCATCTTTGAGCCCTGTCGATCCAGTAATTATTAATCAAGTTATTTTTAGAAGTTACTATTATGAACAGAATTGATAAACAAACAAAACAAATAAGTAATAATAATAATATAAATAAATAAAATAAAATATATAAAAAAAAAATTTTTGTTTGATTCCCAGAAAATTTTATTTGATTCCAAATAAAGACTAAATGAAAAAAACAACACGATTTATTTCATCGAGTTTTTTTTATTTTATTTTATTTTATAAAAATTAAATTTTTTACGAGTAAAATATATATCGTATTTATACAAAATTTTAATATTAACATATTATTATTTTTTTTTTAAAAAAAAATGGAAGACGACGACAATAACCATATAAAAATACTGGTGACAAAACTAAATGATACAAAAAATGAAGAAACATCACTTATAAAAGATGACCATTACACTTCAAGTGCAAATGCCGATAAAGACTTGGAAAGTTTAAAGAATACTAGATCTCATAATGGGTGTCCTATTGATGAAATAAAACACTGCTATAGTTCCAAGTTTTTTATAACACATAGTAGAGAAGATAAGTCAATTATTGTATGGAAGGTTGATCATAAAACAACAGCAATTTGGCAAGTCGATGCCGATTTTAAATACTCAAGCGAAGACTTTTATGTGGATTCAAACTTGCGTTTAAAAGTGACTGTTGATGATGTTTCTGAAAATAAATTTATGATTTTATATAATGACAATAATTCATATTCAAAATATTTTAGTAAGTAAATATTAGCCAATATCAGAATGAATTGGTGTTTAGATTATCCGATTTGACGGAATTAGTTTTGGTTATGTTTGAAACGACCTTTTTTTTATAAATTAAAACAATAGATATTTATATATAATAAATTTTCAAATATATATATTTTTTTTAGAATTTCTTGACTTTACAAAAGGAAAATTCAGCGAAATTCGACTCAAAAGTAAAAGAAATGGAAATTTCCGTCAAGGGGCCTTTACTGAACATAATGATTTGATAATGGTAGACCATGATAAATTCCATTTATTTAAATATACAAATAATGATAAGTTGGTTCATAAAGCAACATATAATATCGATAATTATAAGCATCCAAAGATTTATATTGTTAAAGATGGGCTTCTAATTTCTAACGACGATAAATTAATTTTACAATGGAACGTTGAAACTAGATCATATCACGATACCTATTATTTATTATATAAATATTCCGTTTATACAAATACTTTTGAAAACTCCATCCATACAAAGTTTAATAAAGATAAATCATTAATGATAAACCTACTAAGCAATTCGAAATTAATGGTTTATTCATTAAAACACAATATTGCCATTTCATCACGTAAGTATTTATATGCTAATTTATTTTGTTTATATATATATATATATATATATATGCATATACTACTATGTAGTAATTGTTATTTAAATTAATAATAATAAATTTTTTCTTGTGATTTGCAGTTCAATTTGGATTAAATTCCAAGGTGGAATCTTTCGATTTTATTTATACAAAACATCAATTAGAACTTTTATTAGTAATATCAAGTGATTTAATGACTAATGAAAATAATTATAAATTAATGGATCCTTACAATCTAGACAATTCTATGGATATTACTAATTATTTTAACAAGTGTATTCTAGAAAATATAGGCGAAGGAAAAAATTGTGATAGTCCATTAAAGTCTGTTTTATTAGGTAGCAAAATCATAATTATAACTTCCGATAATGAAATCATCATTAAAGAAATCATCGACGAGAAAAAATTAAATATTCAGAAAATCCATTTAAAAAATTTATATGTAGGGCAA